CCGCGCTGCTCTGGGAGCTTGGAGGGGCGCGGAGGCCGCGCCGGGACGCTGGGGCGGGCGGCTTGCAGCTGGCCCTCGGTGGCAAAGCGGCCAACCGTGGCGCCGCGGAGAGTCCGAGGCCTGTGCTGCGCCCGGGCCGTCGGGCCTCCGAATAGGTTCCGGATTCCCGAGGGCCGAGCTGGAGAAAGTTGCCCCAATCCCGGTTGGAGAAATTTATTCAATAGACAGACGTTTCCCACATCGTCTCCCATCTTCCTTCCCAGGGCCACCTCGGTTTCAGGCGCTGGGCCCAACAAGCTCAGCCTTATGCAGACAGCTCTGCGCCCGCACCGCCACTCTAGAACTCTAGAACACTGGGCATCTCGTGCAGATGCGCCTTTAGGAGCTTGCATGACCCCGGGACCCCCCGCCCGTCTTGATGCCAAATGGTAGCTCACTAGTGTCGGGCCCCCTCCTGGATGTGGAGAAGGCGCGCCTAGAATTAGGAGCTGTGTTTGGTGGGGACTGGTCCCCCCCACCCCGGGTTGCTGTACACAGGCCCTTCGAAGGCCAGGCCAGGCCGGAAGCAGGCCTCAGGCTCAGAACCAGTGGGTGGCAAGCCTCAGCTGCGGTGACAACAGGGAGTCACCCTGAGATGGAGCTCAATGGTAGAAGGCTTGCCTAGCACACGCGGGATCCTGGGAGGGAAGATGAGGAAGAATGTCAAAAGAGCACCTGCCCAGCCCTCTGATTTGGGCTGTAGCTCAAAAGGATGCTCCTGAAAGCACTAATGTTGCTGAAGGTCCTGGGACACATACAGCCATAGAGGCCACGTTGGTAAGAACAAGAGGTGACTAGAGGTTTATCCCACAAAACAAGACCTTCTTTTTCCTTTTTTTTTTTTTTTTTTTTTTGGAGACGGGTCCTGCTAAGTCACCCAGGCTGGACTTGAATTCATGATTCATGATCTTGCTGCCTCAGACTCCCAAGTAGCTGGGATTCCAAGCGTGCATCCGTGAACCTGGCAGAACACCATGCAATTTTCTGTCAAGACTGGTGAATCCAGGAAGACCCTCTTTTTTTTTTTTTTTAAGAATATAGGAAGACAGTCTTGAGGGAGGAATTCCTTCACTCTTTTCCAGACATCCTTGCTCAGAGAGTTCCAGGAGGGTACTTCCTGTATCTCAGGGACAGGTAACTTTTGTGGGGAATTGTTCTGCCCAGACTGATCAAGGCAGTCTGGGCTCAACATTGCTAAGGAACAAGCTGTGAAGCACAGTGTTGGATCCCAACACCTCCCTGAGCTTGCAGAACTCCAGCCTCTGCCCCACCCTTGCACAGGGGACTAGCAATTTAAATGTTATCACATTTCACTGATTATCAATCATTTAAAAATACTGCCAAACTGTTGAAACAGTTGCACATATAATACTGGTATAAGTTGGTATAACCATTCAATTTTAGTAATAACAATCCAGTGGTTATCAACATCCTCACTACATAAACCAAGCAACAAAACCAAAAACATTCATAAACAGCAGTGCTTCTTGGTTTTTTGGTTTTGGTTTTTTTTTTTTTTTTTGAGAGAGAGATTTTTTAATGGTTTTTTTTTTTTAAGTTTTCGGCAGACACAACATCTTTGTTTGATTGTGGTGCTGAGGATCGAACCCGGGTCGCACGCATGCCAGTCGAGCACGATACCGCTTGAGCCACATCCCCAGCCCCAGCAATGCTTCTTGTGAGAATCTATTTTAGGGAAACAATCCAAAATACAATTTAAAGACAAAAGTTTGCCATAACATTGTTTGCAAAATCTATACTGTCCTCAGACCTCCAGCCTTCCAAAATGGAGCTTAGAGGGGGCTCTTTGCCTTTACAAGCAATTGTGAACTAAGTGACTAAGTGTTGTAGAGCTAGGGATGTAGCTTGGTGGTAGAGTGCTTACATAGCATGTTCAAGGCCTTGGGTTCCATCTCCAATACCAAAAAACAAAACAAAACAAAAAAGTGTTGTCCCCACCTGCCTACTTAGTGCTTTCAATACTTAAAACAATATACTGCCAGGTGTGGTACTACATGTGATCCCAGTGACCCGGGAGGCCAAGACAGGAGGATTGCAAGTTTAAAGCTGGTCTGGGTAACTTAAGGAAACCCTGTCTCAAAAAATAAAAAGGCTGGGGATGTAGCTTAGTGGGAGAGCTCCCCTGGATTCAATCCCCAGTAAAACAAAAAAATATATTGATGTCCAGAATCTGCTAAAACCCATTACTTAATTAAAACCAGAAACAACTTAAAACATTCAGTGTTCAACATTAAAATAATATTTCTGTGAAGAGGAAATAGACTAAGCCATTATTTATATTCAAAATATTGAATAATGTGAGAATTATACCATTGTGATCTTAAGTGGATACAATGCAGCATTCACAGGTCCTGGGACACACTTTCTGGGATATATACATCTATACATTACCTGAATGCCCCCAGACCCTTCTTCTTTTGTATCCTCACTGAAGGCACAGTGATTGGTGTCAGCAGGCTGGCTCGTTGTTGTTGTTGTTATTAGATATACATGACAGTAGAGATTATTTTGAATCTTTTTTTTTTTTTAATTCTGGGGATTGAATCCAGGGGTGCTTAACCACTTAAAAAGCCACTTTTCTTATGTTTTATTAGAGGCAGGGTCTCGCTGAGTTGCTTAGGGCCTCACTAAGTTACTGAGACTGGCTTTGAACTCATAATCCTCCTGTCTCAGCCTCCTGAGCCGCTGGGATTACATCCAGGTGCATTTCGGGCTTGGGCCACCACACCAGGCCCTTATTCTGCCTTGAGAAGCACAATGGAGAAGAAAAGGGACAGGCCAACTCATGAGACCTGAACCACTGTCCATGGATCCACTGCCGGACCTCCACCGATGCCTTGTCTGCCCTCCACTGATGTGGGGGTGTTCTTTTCTTTCCTTCTCCTTTTCGCTCTTCCTCTTTCCATTTTCCTTAGTGGTCTGATGGTACATATTAAGCAACCAGATATTGGGGAGAAATTTTATACAAATCAGTAGTCCTAATTTGTACCTTTTGTTAATTACGATGGTGTAAATACTCCCACTAGGGCCAATTTCAAACTACCAATATGGGTCACTGAGCAGAGTTGGGAAGAGATGGGTATAATCAGTGCTTGCCAGAAAGGATGAGCTGGTTTCCACACACCGCTGCCTTGGTACCATTGCTGGAAGAAGGAGGAGCATCACATCCTCCCAAGTTAACCAGTCTTCCCTTTGTCTCAGCAAATGAACACAATCAGGAGGCAAAAACTGAACATGTCTGAACTCACAGCACATTCTGAGTCACCATCTTGAAGCCCCAGAAGCTGATCCTAGTCAGACTTTGTCTAAACCCATTTTTATGGACCCCTCGCCCCCCCAACATTGTTCCTTCTTGTAATCTGGCTTCCATCTAGCTACCCCCTTAGGTGTCTGTAGTGTCTGGATTCTAATTATGTACACAATTCAGGGGTTTTCCTATGGAATCTTAGGTCCTATGTCAACCGGCAATGGCTGGAAAAATTGGGTTATGAGGGAAAGGGAATGTTATGCAGTCAAATTCCACAAGGAGGAGGTTGCTGGGATCCACACTTCTTTCTCTCCCCTCAGTCTGCAACAGGTTTCACCCTGACAGAATTTCTTCTGTGGAGATCAGCACAAATCTTAAATCTGAAGCATACTGTCCCCTCTGCTCCTGGAGCTGGGCTATCTGATATACTCTGTTTTACTAGGTGTACTCAAAGGGGGTTTTCCATCCCTTCTTCTTGGATGTCTCTTGTTCTTGCAGATTCAGTCTACTCTCAACATCCCCTGGTCCTATTATTTCCCTTATTCTGAGAAGGGCAGAAAAGACTCAAAGCATTGACACGTGAAGCCCTAGACTAGTCCTCAGTCTAAAAACTAGGCTTAGAAACCAACATTTGCAGCTTGCTTTCATCAAGTGTCAAGAGGCCATCTTTTCTTGTCTTGAAACCTTATCATGCACTCAGGAATAGGAATTTCTTCTACCCAAATCTTATAGTATGGTAAAACTTCTAGCCAGTCTATATAGCTCAATGGGGAAGACCTACTTATGGATGCTCAATCAGTAAAGCTTTTGCAATACCAGTAATTCATTTTTGAGCAGGAGGTTGGTGTTTATGACTTTCAGAGATCCTGGAAACTGCTGCTGGAACCAACTGGTTAGTTTGAAGGACCTCAGAGCCTCAATCCCACCACTTATTGCTGACATCATAAAATGAGTAGTTGGATTTCCGTTTGTGTCATATTGCTCTCAAAGTTTTCTGCCCAGGCTAATGACACTAATAATGCTTTTCACCGTAGTGCAGAAGAGGGATGCTATTATATTTATAGAATGAGTGAATAACATAGTATGCAAAATATCTAACTCTGAAATTGACTTGCCCAGTAAATTGTTGGGGTCTGGGGACTGTAATTCAGTGGTAGAGGGCTTGCTTAGCTTGAGGCCTAAGGTTCCATCCCCAGCACTACTTTGTACCCTGAGAACCTTTCATTATATATTCTAATAAAATTCTTGCTCAGAACCTTTCCCAGTCTAGTGAGTCATCATTTGCTAGACTTAAACATTTTAAAGCTGGCATGAGTCAGAGACATTTAGCAAAAATTATTAAAATGTTACTTTACCAGGAACTAGTAACAAAATATAACCAGAAAGTATCTACAAAATATAATCAAACTGCATGAAAGCACTGTAGCCCTATAGTCCAACCCAGTTGATTTTACTTTTTTAGTAAGAGCAGTTAAAATTCCTCAAATAAGCTTTTGGCTGGAATTTGTTTTGAATTGGATACAGGGCAGGGGAGTGGAGGGAATATGTTCCTTCTGAGTGCAGAATGCAAATAATGTGTTCCCAGTATGAAAGTATCTATAAAAATACTTCTCTAAATATAACCTCCCTCAAAACAGTCAAATGGAGATTTTGGACCTCAGGATTTCTACTTTAAAAATACAAAGAAACAGAGGCCCTCCCTACCTTTACAGCTAAGAGTGAGAAGCTTGCTTATTTATTTTTCTGCTACAGGGATTGAACCCAAGGGCACTTGACCACTGAGCTACATCCCCAGTCCTTTACATTTTGAGAGAGGATCTTGTTAAATTGCCTAGGCTGGCCTTAATCTCATAATCCCCTACTACACAAGTAGCTAGGATTACAGGAGTGTACCACTGCACTTGGCTTTCAATACAAATTTTCAATTGTTACTAAAATTGCTAATGTCCAGGCTGGGGTTGTGGCTCAGCAGTAGAGCACTCAGCAAGCGTGTTCGAGGCCATGCCTAGTTTTATCCTCAGTACCACATAAAAATAAATAAAACAAAGGTGTATTGTGTCCAATTACAACTGAAAAATATTTAAA